ATACAGCTACATTTTGTGAGATATATGGTGTGCTTACTTAAGCGTAATCAGAGTGAATATGAATCGGAGAGATTGGAATTCGAAATGAGGATTCGGAGTTTGAATAAAATTTTTAATTTAGGTTGTAAGAATCGGAGCCGAAATCATTGTGAATCCCATATACGCGTTTACGGACTAATTAGATTTAGAATCAGTTCAAATTATTATAAAAGTATGTGTGGGTAAGTAAATATGGGGTTAATTCACAATCCCCACTTTTCATAAATGATTGGCTTACTTATCCTATAGTTTAAAAATTAATAATTGGCAATTTTGGTCCCATTTTTTTTTGTCAAAAGCGGACAGTAACACTGAACCTAGATAAAATGTGTATAAATAATCTTTTATGATAAGCAATCTATTCCACCAAAAGTTGAAAACTTACTAATGAAATTTGAATCAAATAGATAAGCTAACGCAAATGATCACAAATCACCATATAAGAACAATAAACAAATCACAGTATATATAATACAAAACAAACTCATAATTTTCTTCTTTATTTTTTTTGTTAACGTCGTACGGAAAACAACATTATTTAATTTGATACTTAGTTTTTATTTGCTCAAAGAATACACCCTTATAAATTTCCCAAGAGACAGAAAACATTAAATCGTTTCGATCTTAAAACATTTCCACTCAGATTTCTGTATTATTGTGTGGAATTTTATAAACATGAGAAGCTTTTCCTAAACCAATGGAGAGAAAGTTCTTTAACTGCTAATTGCTTTTATATATTCTTTGAATTGGCATATTCTATAAGATATTCGCTTTTTCCTTGTGTACAATTTCTTGAAGAATCCAAAAGGAAAAGTAAAGTACCTATATATGTATATATATGTATGATGAAACTTTGTCTTATAAGTAGATACCTTTAAGACGTTCTTGTTGTAAAAGAATAAAAAAAAGGGAAAAGAAAATATGTACACATGATCACAATAGAATTAGGAGCTAGGGTCCATATAGATAGAATATTGATCCGTTATGTATGCAAAATATATAGCAACTTTCCTCTAGGGGACCACATGAGCATGAAAGATCGATCTCAATCACTGAATTTAAAATGCCAACTTTTCAAGTTGTGGAAACCCTCCCACGAAAATGAAAAGGAAGACCATAGGCCATGTTTAGAGTTGGTTTTATTTTTTTTTTTTACGTTTTTCGAGAAAAAAAAAATGAAAACGTGAGAGAAACGGTGTTTGACACAATTAAAGATGAAAAACGTAAAAGAAAACGATTTTTTAGTTTAGTGTAAAATGAGAGAGAAATGAAAAACGACTTTTAGTCGTTTTCTCATCTCTCGAGCACAGAGAAAGAGAGATATTAATGGATTTTTTTATGCTGAAAATAATCTCTTGATAAACGCATTTTGAAAAATGATTTGTTTGATATTGAAAACATTTTCATTTCCATTTTTATATAAAAAAATAAAATCATTTTAAAATGAGTTCCAAACGCACCCATAATGTTTCAATATAAACCCAAGAATGTCCCTTGTATTTATACCACATTTTACCTACTATAACGTCAAGTTTTTTTTTCCCCCCCTAAAGAAAAAGGGTTACAAGAATAGAAGTTGGCGTCCTTATATTACTTCGAGATATAATTTAGAATCCAAATGTCGTCTCTTTAATCAATAACCAAAAAGGTAACATAATAATATACAAAACATTATTGTGATTCTTCATTAATGGCTTGCAAGATTATTGTGTGCCTAACCCATTTAGCTTAGGGTATCTTATAGTGTTTTGATCACTCAACTAAATACATATTCAAAGTTAGAAATTAAACAAAATTAAAAAAAAAAAAAAAAACCATTTCAATTCAAATGTCAACTAAGATATCCAAACTTTGGGTGACCGCAGACAGATTTTTCTAATCCTTATAGATTGGTATTTTCCAAGTACATAATTTAAGTGCAATAATCTTGAACCACAGAAGCACTACCCCACAAAAATGGATATGATTTTGGTGGGACAGCAACATCATATATTGTCGACTACTCCAGTATAGTTAAAAGATAAAGAGATCATGTACGTTAGAATATCAACCATATAGACAAAAACTACTAATAAGTTGGTAAGCGGTAAAAATATATTTCTTTCTTTTTTTCTTAGGATGTATCTAGAGTGCAATACTTTAAAAATGATGCTCAGTCAATGTGTTGTGCGTTGCTGAGTATATTATGGTATAAATGAAAACTTAACCTATCCTTCAGAAATAAATTGTGGACATTTAGTTTATATATTTAGAATCATGATTCAGAATCATTCTCGTTTTATGTGTATGTTTTGTGAGAGAAAACACTGTAGAGAACCATGAATCGTGGTTCAGAATCAGGGACGAATATAGGAAACAAACGTCCAATAAGTCATTTCTATTTGATAAACGGGTCATGACAAAAGAGAATGGAACGCGTGTTGACTCCAACAATCCCTTTTTTTATTGAGTAATACAGACATATAGACGTTTTTCTTTCTATTTTATAAACAGATCTCGAGATTTTTAAAGTGACAAAAAGAGATGGGGCGCGTGTTGACTCCAACAATCCCTTTTTTGAGAGAGAGAAAAGGACCATGACCCTAAAGAAAGCACCCTCACCAAGTGATATTTTCAGAAATCAAGTATAGAATGGACAAGCCATGTAGCACTTTTCTAGATTCCCCATCTTCCAACAACAGAATGCAGAAGCTGTTGACAATTGTTTGGTTGGTGGATTCGTATTCTGATTCGAATCATGGTTCGTGGTTCGTTACAATATTTTTTTTAACAAAAAACACATGTAAATCGAGAATGGTTTTGAATCATGATTTTGAATCCATGAACCAAACGTCCACAATTTCACATATTAAGCTGTTCATACAAAATTATTTAATCTTGGCTGCTTATCTAATTAACCTTAATTGCGATTTCACATACAAAATTTTGCTGTTCAAATTGATGCATGGGAATAAAATTTTCTCACATTAACCCAAACAAGGACACAATCACACCATTCATTACGTGTCCGTGCATGGTTAAACTAGTAATATCACTCAGTTTGTGGAAGGAATAAAAGAGGGATTGGATTGGAGCACTAAACAATCCTAATCCAATGTATGATGGATCACTTGGCATGGGACGACCTAGTAGTCTCTTTTTTTGTGGGAATAATTACGCACATGGGATTAGTAGTCCCAAGATTCAAAACTTGTAGGCCCTACCTTTAAAATAACTTTTTTAAAATTTTTTAGTAATATATAGTGTTTTCGTATAGTTCAGAAACTTAAAATATAAGTCCAAAATTAATTTATCATTTACTTTTCAATTTATAAAGAAATATTATAAGCCACTCGAATATAACACTAAACACATGATAGTATGAAGCATAACTCATTCCAATTCAAAATAATAATCTTATCAAATCTTGTGCACTGACAACATTAAAAACGACATTACCAACTTTTGGATGCCTATCTCCAGACAATTTTACCTGTTCCTCCCAAAGTCACATTATGCGAGATTATTTGACTCCTCAGTGGCAGAGTACTTCAAGATTATTTGTTTAGTAAAGTTCAACAAATTAGAAGAAAAACAAAAAAAGAGCAATAGGAAAGTTTGAAATATCGGTTGTAATGCTCTTCCTTCCACTGAGTTCCTCATGAGATTATTGTCGTTTTCTAGCTTGTGTCGTTTTCTTGATTTTGTCGTCTTGATCTTAATGTCGATGTTGAACAAAACTGTCATTTCTCTGTTTAATGACGTGGTAGTTTCGTTTATCTCTGTATTGTTCTTTTGTTTCGTCCTATTGTCATTGTTGTCGTTTTAATCATGTAATGTCGTTTATCTTATTTATTGTCGTTTCTACAAATTGAATTTTTTAAACTGATTAGTGATGTCATTGTCCTTTTATGAATTCATGGTCGTTATTGCTATTATTGTCGTTTCCTCTATATCATCCTTTTGTGCTTGCACGTTTTCGTAATTTATGTGCTGTGGTTTTCTCAGGTGATGTCGTTTATAGTTGTTATCTTATTGAAATTAGTCTCCCATCTTTCTTTTTTTTTTTTTTTTCTCTTTTTGCTTCCAATTTTCTGGAGATTATAGTCGTTTTATTATTGGCATCAATTCCATTTTTATTTGTCTTATACTACATACAGTATACTATTATCATGTTTTACAATCTTATTGTCGCACTGCAATATTTGTCCTTTTCCTGTCAATGGCTTGGTGTTTGCTTCGTCCTTCTAAATGCTGTCGTTTCTCATAGTTTTGTCGTTTCAAACTTTATCGTGTTCAGGTTATTGTCGTTTTTTAAGTCAGGTCATTTTTTTAATCTTTTTTTTTATTTTTTCCTTTTTTGTGTCTAAGCGTTTTATTTTTAACTTTTTTCCTCTTCATGTTACTGTTTTTCCTTGTTTGAACCAAACAGGAAAGAAAACTTATCTTTAAACCGATGGGATTAGGCAGATCATATGACAATAGTAGGGTGGGTCCCGGATACTCATTCATACCATAGGGTGGGTACCACCGTACTAATATCGGGGGCCCACTGCTATTAGAGATAACCCCATTCAATCGGATTGAATAGAGTTGCTCAACGGTTCGAAGGACGCAACCCACTCTTGGATTAGTATGCCAACAAAGACCTAAATTAGGCCATCTTGGTCGCCAATCCATCTCTGCTCGGTCTCTTAACCTCATGGACGACACGGCATTGTTTCTTGCCTTCCTCATTTGACTCGTCGTCGGCTGACGGAGTCGAGAATTCTACGACATGGCTTCTCCGATCAAAATTCTTGGTTCCTTGCCAAAATAAAACAAGCTACCGCATGGACATAAACTATTAGTGGAAACACTCCCGCTCTTCAACTTTTGGGTAGGAGTTTGTTTGACGAGGAAATGCGTTAAACTAATAGGGAAATTGACGAAATATGGACTCAAAATACATATAAATTTAATAAAAAGAGAGTTACGTATGATTGGTAAAATCCAAGAATAAAACCGATGAAAAATCTACCAATTCAATATGACATTGTGCATGTTAAGATGTTGACATGATCCTACATCATAAAGAAAACTAACAGATTACAAGCACATATAACTGCAGCAGAGACGAGACTCAAAATGACCATTCTTCGCTTGGCCAGTTGCCTAAAAGACGCAGCAAAACAGACGGCTTTTCTGGAAAGGTAGAATTGCTTTGTATAAACTACGTACATGTTCCGGCAGCCACCCCTTGATAGAATAAATGCGAGCCACGGTGTTCTGTTCTTCACGGAAACATCTTCCTAGAAGAACTCCAGTACCTAACACTTTTTAAGTTCATTTCACCAATCCAAGGAAAAGTTAAAAACCGAAAGAGAAAATAGAGACGCATCTTAGAAGAAAGAGACCATGTGTAATAACAAAAACATTAGGAAAATCAAGTAAAACAACAGCATGGAAAGCAGAAGTCAAGAAATATGATGCGGCAAACAAGTAAAAATAAATAAATAGATAAATAAAACTATCTTATGTGGGGAGAATAATGCAAAACTTGGTTTATCTAGACTTCTATTCCATCAAATTAGTAAGTTCAAGTGATATTACAAAAAGGGACGAAATAATACAAGGGAAATCAGGGCTATGAATAATAATTGCGAGAAAATGCAATCACATAAAGTAAGAGAGAAGCAGCACTTTAGAACAGAGAGTATTTTACATACGCCGTAGTCCTGCATCCTCATAGCTTCACTTCCACATCGACCCCAGCAGGAAGGTCAAGTTGCATCAAAGAATCTATTGTTTGTGCAGTTGGATAAAGGATATCGATGAGGCGTTGGTGCGTACGAATCTCAAAATGAAACCTTGCATCCTTGTGGACGTGAGGTGATTTCAGAACACAATGGATTCGCTTTTTGGTTGGCAAGGGCACAGGACCCATAGTTTTTGCGTTCGTATTCCTTGCAGCATCCATTATCTGCTTGCAGGAGTCCTCTATCAAGGGTACCCAGTAAGACCTAAGTTTAATCCTAATTTTCTGCTTCGGTGCGGCCTGCAAGCACAGCCACCTTTACGTTATTATAGCTCAATGATGACATAAATCTCAACACTAGCTATTCTAGATCATCATACAAAAGGCAAGACAGGAAGAATCTAGCCACATTAGTCCCAAACCTAATTTGAATCCATCAGGACTAACCTGCACGTAATCATTCGCCGAGTTATGATTCTGACATGCACAATTCCTTCATGTTATTCAAATTTTAAAGTGGCAATATTCATTAAGCCCTCTACAGCTACACCAAAATCTTATCGTGTAATAAAACTTTACTATTGAATTGTAGACCTATACGTTATAGCTACAGAATACCAACACAATCATTTCACTCAAGAATTCCATCCCGGTAAAAATTCTTCAACAAATATAACAGAATATAACATATCCACTATACGTAGGGAAAAACAGTACAAACAATGACATCAACTCAAAGAATTCAAAAAGAAAAACAAACAAACAAACAAACCCGACTTATTTTGTTTACAGTGTCTACTTTAGCTTTCTGGTAAATGGTTATAAACATATTTTCAATAACGTTTGTATAAAGTTTATTCTCTTTCAAACAGGATTAAACAAGCAAAGAAATACCTTGTCAGCATCAGCACCAACACTGAGAGACGAAGTACTTGGAGTCTCAGAATCTCCAACCTGAAAATCACCAAAACCAAACATGAAAGATCATCAAAAAGTTTCCCAATCGTCCCTTTATATTGCAGCTTTAAAAATGGTTTCTTTCTTAGGGCCTCAAGAGAAAATTGCTGAAGTCACCCTTAGATTGTATGAGTCTAGATTTTTACCCCAGATTAATACCCTTTTGACTAATACAGTTATTTGACTAAAAAGAATATTAATCGTGAGTAGGAGTAAAAATCCATACCCTGCAAGGGGTATTTTTCTCCTTTCACCTGGGCTCAATGGCCTCATATTACAGTAGAGAAAATGCATAAAATAAAACAAAATATGGAAAGATGAAAATCCTATCACGTCCTCTTTTCCCAAATACATAAATGTGACAATCAAGTTATCACATTTATTCATCTAAGACTCATTTTAGCTTAAAATAAACTAACTTTAGTATCATTTCTGACAAGATTCACAACAATTAAAAGAGCACAATAGTGTTTGGACGATAAAAGAAGCATAATTTTGCATAAAAATTCAAGTTCAAGTGGGTTGCTGAGAAAAGGCAAAACCGAAAGGTAATGGAAAAGAAAAGAGAACATCAAAATTGAAACTTATTTTCCACAGTTAATCCAGACACAGTAAAACAAGGAACCATTTTATAAAAAAGAACAAACTTTCCGACAATTTCTCAGCAGCCAAACAGACCAGAATCGAATTACCGGGAGAAAAAAAAAAAAGAGGTGAAAGAGAAAAACAAACCTCAACTCCATCGGCGCCAGACCCGTCCAAAGTTTCTGATCCGTCCAAAGTTTCTGGAGGCGGCTCCAAAACTTCGGGAGCAGCATAAACCCTAGTTGACGGCTGGGAGGGTTTTAGAGCTCTGAGCTTCGGAGAACAATTGGCGAATTGCAAAGAGAAAGCAGAAAGCTTTGGCTTAGAGGACGAAAATGGGGAAGAATTGGAGAGCGAAAGAGAGGGAATTAGGGTTGCAGAAACTGAAGAAACCGTCATTTTTGAAGCTTCCGTTAAAGCTCAGAGAAGCGAAGATGAAGAAGAAGAAGAAAGGTACTCTCTTGCTTGTGTGCTCTCTGCCTGTAGAATTATCCAGATATTTTTTTATTTCAAGAAAAAATTGGATAATAAATGAACTTGAAATTACAAGATTAGCCCTATTTTGTCCTCAGTTTGAGGATTCGTTATTTGATTCGAATTATGGTTCATGGTTCGCTACAGTATTTTTTTTTTCACAAAAAACACACGTAAATCAAAAATAATTCTAATCTCATGGTTTTAATCCATGAACCAAACGGGGATGGTCAAGCCAAAAAAATGGTGTCAAAAATTAACAGAGAAAATTGTAAACTTTCTCTTAAGTACATGAATTTAGAATTTTATCATTTTCTTTTGATTATTATCTTTTTATCTAATATAATTATTTGATTAAAAAATACATTAATTAAAAATAAAGAATAAAAATCTAAGCCTATATAATTTAATAGGTATTTGTAATTTTTCCAAAATTATAAGAATTTGTAGTACATAAAAGATTTCTTAAATTTTAGGTAATGAATAACATAATTATTTTAATTGTTAAGTAAATAATAGATTTTGAAAATTTTGATTTTATGTTTCCTATTTTACCCTTGTTTATATTTTAAAATCTAATTTTATGAATATTAAAGAAAGACTTCTAATTTTATGAGATCGACGTCTCAAGGAACTAATATTGGAAAGATATAGAAAGTGAGAATGGGGAGTTAGAAAAGGTGAGAGATGAGAAAGAAAACGATTAAATTCTAATAGATAATTTAGGCCCCGTTCATTTTGTTAATTCGAGTTTAAAATTCGAGTTTTGCTACAGTAAAAAGCTCTCACAAACAATCACATTTAACTTTTTTGCTACAGTAAAAAGCTCTCACATAAAATAACATCTCAACTCGAATTAAAAACTCGAATCAGCGAACTAAACGTGCTGTTATTCTATTATTTTAAAGTGGTATGTTTCAATTTTTTCCTAGAAAAGCAGAAATGGTATATTTTATAAACTCTCCTCTCATCTCTTCATGCTCCCTGATCAAAGGGGCATTTCAATACTTTTTCTGAGAAATTTCTCTTTTTATTTGTTTTTCTGAGATAAATTACACGAATGTCCCATGTATTTGATTTAAATTACAAAGACATTCTTTCTATCGAAAACATTTTATCTCAACACCCCTCCCTAATATTAGTTCTTTTAACTTGTATGCAAAATTAAGCCTTGTTCACTTCACAAATTCGAGTTTTTAATTTGAATTGAAATGTGACATTTTCTGAAAGCTTTTTACTGTAACAGAAAAATATTAGATGTGACATTTTTTAAGAATTTTTAACTGTAGAAACTTAGAGCTGAAAACTCGAATCGGTGAAATAAACGAGTCCAAAGCATTACATAGTATCTAAAAGCATTGTATCTAACATAACTATAAATCACAAATTCGAGTTTTCAATTTGAACTGAGATGTGACATTTTCTAAAAGCTTTTTACTGTAACAGAAAAATATTAAATGTGACATTTTTTGAGAATTTTTAACTGTAGAAACTTAGAGCTGAAAACTCGAATCGGTGAAATAAACGAGTCCTTAATGTATACCCCAAAAAATCTCAAAATGTTGATCACATTATTGCTTGAATTGTAGCTGTTGATTATAGATGAGAAGCACAAATGTGTTCAAAATTGTTTGGGTTTATTTTGCGTTAGGGACCCTTTTTTTTTTTTTTTTTTTTTTTTTTTTTTCTTTTTTTTTTTTTTTTTTTTTTTTAATTTCATATTATGACTTGTTTGTGTGGATATCTATGTAAGTTGTTATTTCGGGTGAGTGACGACTCTTTTTTGTACGTTTATGCTATGTTGGTTTATCTTCGTATTATTATTTGCTTCAGATTATTATAATGCTTTTTTTTTTTTTTTTTTTTTTTGCTAAGAGATTATTATAATGCTTTTAGATACTATGTAATGCTTTGGAGTATCTCTTGTTTTGAATTAAGTTATCAAAATATTATATGCTTTATGTTAGACACAATGTCTTGAAATCTCTCAATCACTTTCCAAATATTATGACTATAAATCACTTCCTACGGAAAATATTACAAGTATAAATAGTCCAAGTATCAGAACTAGTGTTAAAAATTGAGTGTGGAAAACAAAAAATATATAAAAAAAAAATGTTCCTTTTTCCATTAAAGTGTAAGTTTAAGTTGTGAGTTGGCAAACGTAAGCATATTTATTTAGCTATATAAGGGTAAACGTGTTAGACAATAAGGGCTCGTTTAGTTCACTGATTCGAGTTGAAAAGTAATTTTATGTTAGAGTTTTTTATTGTAGTAAAAAGTTAAATGTGATTATTTTTTAAAATTATTTACTGTAGCAAAACTCGAATTCTAAACTCAAATGGTAATGAATAGAGCCTAAGTAATAGTGAAAATATGATTTTTGTCATGTTTGACTAACAGAGCGTGTTTTTGTAATTTTTTTTTTTAAAAAAAATTATAGGGGTGTTATGTAAAATATTTTTTAAATCAAAATGATGCCTATGTGATGCAAACACATAAGACAAGTGAGTTAATTCCTTGTATTACCTGACTAAGATGAAACAATTAAAAAAGAAAGACTAAATTTAGAAGTCACCCCAATAATTTTTCTGTTTCATGCCCTTTTTTAATCATGCGGAGGTTATAATATTTTATGCGTAAATTTTGAATTGGTACAAAGTTTTTGTCGAATTGATAATTTCAGCTGTGGTAAAGAGAGTGATATTTCATTTTTCTCTATCAATAAACAAAAATTAAGAGAATAATAATTTCCATTTAAAAGGAAAAAAGAAAAAGGGGAGAGAGTATATCATACATAAGTTTTTATTTATGTCTCGTTCATTTTACCGATTCAAATTTTCAGTTCTAAATTTTTACAGTTAAAAACTCTCAGAAAATATCACATCTAATTTTTCTGCTATAGTTAAAAGCTTTTAAAAAATGTCACATTTCAATTCAAATTAAAAGTTCGAATCTGTGAAGTGAACGAGACTACAAATTTTTATAATTAAAATTTTTTTTTCTCTGTTGGTCAGCCAAAAAAAGTTCTTTTTAAAAAAAATTAAAAATAGAAGAAGACTACAAATATGATTTCTAAAATGAACATGGAAGGATGAAATCGAGCTAGCTAGCGTCAAAATTAGGGATAATTATAATATATTGAATTCGAAATATATTATTAATCTCTGCATAGTTATAATCTCTGAATCACACTTGGATGATTTTCAAACAAAGAATCACACTTGGATGGCTCTAATAGCCACTAAATACCCCTAAAAAGAAACGACACTTAAAAGTTTAAATTAAAATTAAGAAAAATAAATGAAATAATAAAATAAAACAAAAACTCGTGGAAGTTTTGTGGAACAATCTAGATCCGACCCACGACCTAAAAAAGCCAATATTTATGGAACAAATACTTGCTGTGTTTGAAAACTTCTTTTATATCCCAATTTCCATCTAATTAAGAAGCATAACCGCTCCTTTTCTTTTCCTTCTTCCTTTTTTATTTATTTATTTTTTTTACAGATATGAAGTAAGCAAAAATAAATAAATAAAAGTCTCCGTCAAAAGAAATTAATATCGTGGGGAAAAAGAAATATCCCATTCAATTACCATATTTTGGTCCATCTCCGCATGACTGATCCTCCACTAAAATTTCATCTTGTTTCCTTAAATTTATATCCATGTTAGAACTTGGAATATCTTTTACGGATTTTTTTTTCTTTTTTCTCTAGAATCTATTTTATTTGTTCATTTTGAACTAACCCTTAATATAGAGTACCAAAAAATAACATATATATTAGTGAAGTATTATAGTCGTCGATCGTCATTTTATATATACGTGGATATATCATTAAAGTTCGGTTAAATTTGTAATTTTGTTAATGTGATATAATTTGATGTTTCTACTATATTATATAAGTATTTTTCTTACTATACCACACAAAATCTTTTGTTAAATCATAATTTCTTAAAAATACTTGTGTAATGAGGCATGCAGAAAGAGTTAGACATATAATTAATTGATAATTATCAATTAATTATGATCACAAAGACTCTTTGAAGATTAATCACCATTAAACAATCAATGTCATCATCAATTGAATATAGTATAGTTTCATTAGTTCGAATCATAATAATTTAAATTCAACGTTTTATATTATAGTGTTTTGTCTCACATAAATTTACTTTTTAACTAAAATTCTCAACTTAAAAAGCGAAACGGATACCCTTTCGCCCGATTTCGACGTCGGCCGTCAATTCTCAGTAGTCATATTCTCCCGTTATGGATAGATGATATATGGTCCCATAAAGACAAGAGACAACTATAATACACTACATCACAATACCTACACCATGAGGCATGAGCTCAGTTTCTATGGGTTTGCACCATAATATGAAAGACTTTTTGAGTGAACATATTAATGCCAGAATCATCAATCATCATTTCATATTGTATTTATTATTATTACGTACATGGCTGAAAGTACAATGTACATTTCAAGCAAAAAAGTACATAAGGTATATATTATCCTAACTTGAAATTAAAAAAGAAAAAAAAAATTCACTTGATATAGTCTAGTCTTTGATATATTGCTATGTACTATGATCAAAGCGTCATCTCATTTATTTTTCTTATTATTACTGTTATATAATTATTATGTTCATTGAAAAAGTTATACAAAAAAAAAAAAAAAAAAAAACCCCACTTGACAAAGTCTTTGAAATTGCTACGTACCATGACCAAAGCTTCTACGTATTTTCAAAATAATTGTGTATATAAATTACATGTATATGTATATAGGTAGAAACCTAGAAATTAATTAGCTTAAAGAGAAGAAGCGCTTTTTAAATTAAAATCAATGTCACCATTTTAACTTTTATTCCCATAAAATGAGCAGAATTAATTAATGCTTATTTTAAGGTAAAACCATTAATATAAGAATATGAATTAATTATATCAAACCCAATAGACTCTAGTGGTTGTTCTTGTGCTTGTACTATTCTTCTTGAGGAATTTTCTCCTTTTATTCACTACTAAATGATTAATTTGTTGGATTTAATAGTAAGTACTATGCTATAGACCCCAAATAAATAAATAAAAAAGTACTATTTCTATTGAATCTCTCTCATGGGTAGCAAAGGTTGAAACTAATCTCACATCTTTTGTCCTTGTTTAAACTTTAAATTAATTTAAGGGAGAAAGAGAGAAATATGTCAAGACTTGAGATGAATTAAAATTAATAGGTCAATAGTTTATATAAGTTAATAAATAGGTCAAATTACTGCTTTTGTCCATAATTTGTCTGGTTATGAACCATAACTTAACAAGTTGTTGTCCATAATTCACGGTTTTTGTTCATAACTTGTCTGGCTATGAACCATAACTTGACAAGTTTGTCCATAATTTATCTGATTATAAACCATAACTTAACAAGTTATAACCTATTAATTTTTATAATTAAAAATTGACCTATATACTTTCTTAAGCTTTTCATATTACCTATTCACTACTATTTCCGTTAATTTAAATGTCTCTTTTCCTTTTTTCCCTTTTCACAAAAAAAAAAAGCTAATAAAAATAAATAGGGTCACGTCAAACGAATCATTTCATTAAAAAGGATAAAAGTGAAATTAGTGCCCAAACCCCCAATCTTAATTAATAATGGTCGTTGAAAGTGAACTTTCTGAATGTCCTAATATTCCCAAAGACCTCATGCAAAGAGACTGCTCAAGTCATTTCTTTATACAATTATCAGTTCACATTGTTTAAAATTCAATATAATTAATTCCCAGATAATTATTTTCAATTTTAACTCCTCTGCTCATATAACTAAAGAAAAAACATAACCGCTTTTTTAACTATCAAAACCCTTTCCCTCTCTAACTTCTCTCTCTCTCTCTCTTCCCCGTAACAAACCACTCTCTCCATGATCAGAAACCGAAAGTACTCATTATTAAACTCCCGCCAAATTAAGCATGATTTTCTCTTGCATTTAACACAAGGTACGTGACTAAAAACCTAACAAACCCTCTTTAACTTCTTTGTCATATGTATATAAGTATATATTTATATATATATACATATATATAAATATATATATATACAGTCTCTATAACTCCCTCATATATATGTAGATATAACGCTCTTCAATAACTCTAGTTTCATATTATCAGAACGCTCCTTCATTAACTCTCTTCACCTGATTTTTCACACCCCCAAGAAACAATTAACCTTTTTTTGTTGTCGTTTTCTTTCAGAAACACCCAGAAAGAGAACGTAAAAAAAAAAAACGGTCATGGAGTTGAGGATTTCCGGTGGTCTTTTTGCTGTCGTTTTAGTGGGGTTATTATTTTTCCAAGTGGGATTTTGCTCAGAAATGTTATCGGACAGGAATCACATAAGCTGGGACGACCTGAAAGTTGATGAAAAGAAAATGCAAGGATTCGGTACAAAATCAGATAATGTTTATCGTGTGATTGTTGTTGACAAGAACGGAAACGGACATTCTCGTACGGTCCAAGGAGCCATTGACATGGTTCCTCAACATAATACAAAGAGAGTTAAGATTTACATTCTCCCAGGAATTTACAGGTACATTGTTTAATTTACTTTTTTTTTTAAAAAGAATTTTTATTTTTATTTTTATTTTTCCCACCTTTAAGTTTAATAGGGTCATTGATAGTGATCGTAAGATTTAAATCGAACAACGCATATTGTATAAAGCTGGATATCGTGAGAGAATTTTTCGAACAAAACACCATTACATTTATTTTATAGACACCGATTTAATTCTTAAATCAAATGGAGGATATTGTATAGAGTTAGAAATAATGAAAAAATTGTAAGATTTAAAATCATAAGATTAAGGTTAATCGCTCCCATAATATAGGGACATTTTATTGCAGAATTTCACCTTTTGGACGTTCAGTTTTTTACTGTGCGACAGGTTTTTGTCCTGGAGTTAGTGGGAATCTAAAAATTTACATACGTGGGTTTAGTGGGTTTTTTCTTCTTTTTTTTTTTTTTTTTTTTTTGGCTTTTCATGTCTCTTATATTTTTGTGCTATTTTCTATTTTTAATTTCAGAGAGAAGATATTCATACCAAGTACAAAGCCGTACATATCATTGATTGGGAACCAAAATCAAACTTCTGATACTGTGATTAGTTGGAATAATAAGGCTTCCGATAGAGGCAGCGATGGAATTGAACTTGGAACATATCATTCAGCTTCTGTTGCCATCGAATCCGATTATTTTTGTGCCACTGGAATCACTTTCGAGGTAAACTCTAAAGCATATATATATATATATATATATATATAGACACACACACACATATTCATTGCGGTATAAAAAAATATTTTCATTACGTTTATATATATATTCTAAATTTATCATGCATTTTAACATTTTGATACTGGAAAGACAATTGTCCATTGTTAGTGCTGAAAATATTGCAACAATTTATGGGGTTTTTTTTTTTTTTTTTTTTTTTTTTCCTTCTTTATTCAATAGTTAAGATAGAGTTGGTGGAACGTTGTTCAGCTTCTCTTCAAAATTATCTACCGAAGTTATCTTCTTTCAGTAGTTAAGATAGAGTTGGTGGAACGTAGTTCAGCTTCTTTCGAAAATTATCAACCAAAGTGATGCAAATGATGTGACAAAAAGATGATTTTACGGAAAAAGAGCAAGAAAAATTTTATGATAGGATATGAAAGAATATTCTATCGGTATATTCAATTTTAAACCGTTTAAAATTATAAATTTGAGTTACATCAAAAGAATCCACCTATAACTCTTATTTTAGTCAAGATTTTAGGCTAGAAGCCTGAAGTCCCCTAGCTCGGCCCGATATGACCAGAATATGCATCTTATAAACCATATAATCTACATTAAATTTTATTAGCTTTGAACACTTTTTCATTTAATGTAATTTTAATTGGAATATCTCACGGTTCAAAAATATATAAGAACCGATAAGACCTACATAGAAAGATTTAAAAAAAAAAAAAAAACTGAAAAAAAAGACGGAAAATGGAAGGGAAAACATTCATTGGTTGATGGTAATTGATAACTAAATGAGAACGTCATGCATGTGATGTTTGTGAATTACAGAACACAGTGGTGGCGGACCCAACAGGGCGTGGAATGCAAGCAGTGGCTTTGAGAATTGCTGGTGACAAGGCGGTTTTCTACAAAGTAAGGATCTTGGGGACTCAAGATACTCTCTTGGATGACGTTGGATCGCACTACTTTGTTCAGTCTTACATACAAGGAAGTGTTGACTTCATCTTTGGTAGAGCTAGATCACTCTACGAGGTAAACAACTCAAACCCTCATCTATATTCATTTTCACAACAGAATCCCATGTGGAATTTCATCTAGGTATCTTTTGTTTTTTTTTTTTGTTCACAAAAGCTTTTAGGCTTTTTGTACTTTTGTCCCCCAAAATTCTCGTTTGTTTCTTTAAACTTGTCAAACCATTATCATGTGGCCTAAATTGATGATGTTGTTTTTAAACTGGTGATGGAAAGAAGACGATTAATAGTAAAAAAAAAAAATGGTGTTTTCCAACTCAAAAGGTTTAGGGGCAAAGTGTGAAAAATGTTAGTAATGGGTAATTCCGTCACTAACTTAAATGGTGGTATCATTTTGGGCCAAGCTGCATATGTTTAGGGGAGTTAATTGTCAAAATCCAAAGTTTAGGAGGCATATTTGTCAATACAAAAATTTCAGGGGTATAGTACTAAAAAACCCATATTGCTAATGAATCGTTTAAAATTTAAGTGGGATAAACACACATCACTTATAGGTGACTTTCATCTGGGTACTTTTGTTTCTTGCTGATAAAGTTACTAATAAACTCATAACAATTATGAACATCATTTTTCTTTTGTATTTTAGATTAACTGCTGATAATAAGAGTTTGGTCTTGTGGAACAATAGGATTGTGTTCTACAGTCAACGGCTTCATTTGGTGGGGCAATTGCAGCGCATCACAGAGATCTCCCACAAGAAAACACAGGCTTCTCTTTTGTCAACTGCATAGTTAGAGGAACTGGGGATGTCTACTTGGGCAGAGCTTGGGGAGACTATTCAAGAATCATATATTCATATTGTTACTTCGAAAAAATCATAACTTCCTCAGGATGGAGTGACTGGAACCAGCCATCCAGACAAAAGTAAAAATAAACACACACACATATATATATATATATTCATACAAACTAACTTGATGAAAAAACTAGCATTGAAAACTATCAAATTTTGTCTTCTGAGCAGGACCGTTGAATTTGTGGAGTATCGCTGCCGAGGAGCGGGTGCTGACATGAGAGGTCGAGTGCCGTGGATGAAGCCCTTCAGCTACGACCAGATAAGGCCTTACATAAGCACGGAATTCATTGACGGGCAACAATGGCTCCGACTCTAGTTCTAATCCCATCATCTTCATTTCTTGATTCATGGACATAATTCAATCACAAGGCTTTACCGGATCACAAGGCATCAAGGCAACTAGGCACTATGATTTTCTTTCTTCTTTTCTTTGTTGTCAGTTTTTCTTTGTTGTGAAGAGAAAAATGAGAAAATAACTCATGATAGTGATGTATGTTCAAAGGCATAACAAATGTGTGTTTAAACCGTTTGTCTTCACAATATGAGCCTAATTTTGAGCATGTTTCCAAGTCATAAACAAGTTAATTTTCTGGCGGTTCTAAAGGAAAATTTTAATCTTATACAACATTATAAACTTCAAACTTTACACAAAGGTACAAGAAGCAAGCACATACTCAGTCATTTCATGGAAGCATGAGTACTGAATGGTTCATTTACGAGGTTCCTAACCAAATTATCTTTCTAATATAGTTAGTTAAAATCAGGCGGTCATAAAATCCTAACACCTGTGCCTGTACACCTACAGAAGCCACCAATTCGAAATTTTCGAAGGAATGGAATGAGTCTTTCCGCCACCAAAAGACCTTGTAACTATTTACAGAGACTCTAAACTAAGGGAAAAAAACCACTCATGTTAGACACATCTCATACCGTCACTTCCATCATTTCAATTGCTTTTAAGCTCTGATTGGGGGTTTCAAGCTCTTTCATGTCTTCTTTACTGCCATTGTCATCATCATGATGATCTTCGTCATCTTTTTCATCTTTCTCATCGTCATCATCATTGCCGTGGAAACTGTCTACATTATCACAACTGTTGTCAGCGACGACACCATCATCCTCATTGCTATTGTCTCTCAGTGATGGCGACTTCTCACAATTGACCAAGTCCATCTCTTTAGGAGGGTCATCAGAACTAGTAGACGCAGTCAAGTTAAGGTTTTGGTTTTCCTCTTCAGTGATGATGGGTTTAGAGCCTGTAGGTGGGCCTTCAATAGGCGACGAAGTTAAAGTGCCAGAGTTAACTTCTTTGCCAATAGTTGAGGACATGGAAGGCTTTGTACCTGAGCTACAAAGTGCAGATACGGCCGAAACTATGTCCGGTTTTGCCTCAATGTTAATCCACTTGTCCCCCAACCAGTCTCTGGATATTCTCAGGTCCTTCTTTTGTATGTTCAAGAGCAAGCTTTCACCTAATACAACCACACAACAATAGCACATTATGACAAAGAAAATATGGCTGAAAAGGAAGTTGGGCTGGAGATGGGTGATCATGAATCATTTCCGAATGATCTTACCAGGAAAAAAAGCTTGCACACTATCACCGGAGCTATCAACTCCAGTTACAACCCCTTCCCACCAGCCATCGCTCCACCATGCATCAATTGCAGCTCCCACCTTAAGGGAAACCTCTGTCTGCTCTTTCGAAGGGGCTGGTCGTATTGTTGGGCGGCCCGAATGTCTCATGCAAAGCTTATCAGGCATTGCCAGTTTAAGAGCTGGAATCCATTCCTACATATTTCAACAAGGAAATCAACAAGTTGGAAAGTGACTCGAAAAGACAGATCAAGTTTAAGTTAAGAAACGCAATTCTGGCAAAGCCAAAACTGGACTAGTCTTAACCTTCTATCTGTGCAATTACATTCTACACTTCATACCTCGAGATTGCCACATCCATCCTCATCTTGCAAGTCATCGTAAAGGACTTTCATCTGTTTTCTTGATACCTGCAAGACCGTACACCTGAACCAGCATCCTCGGATGCCGCTATCTTGGCAGAGCAATTCTATCTTGTCATCAACCTTAAACAGTTCAGTAAACCAGGGCTGACATCTAGCACGCTTTAAAGAAAATGATCCCCTGCCAGATGAACCATAATTTGAGTTCTGATAAGGTCCATAGCTCAGCCTACAACGATCTTCAGTAGAAATTTTGACCCTTGAATGATCCACTGAGCTTCTTCTCCTCTTAGAACCCATCTTTACATTTTCGCCATGGCCTAATTCATCATCTTCTTCCCAACTCAGGTTATTGCAAGACTCGGGCTGTGGAAAGAAATCGGGACCAAGACAAGAGAGAATTGGTTGATCTAAATAGCCTCGCAATTTACTCAAATCAAAGGGCTTTGTTCTGTTGCTTCTGAATTGCCTATAGCACATATGTACTTTAGCCAAGAAACCATGAGGAATTGCAGCTAAGCATTTTTCATAATGTTCACGAGTTAAGACCGTGGCAAGACCATCGACGCACTCTGCACTGATGACTTGTGCATATGGTGTTATAAAAACTTCTTTCGGGTGAGGATTTCGCAGCGGAACAACCCCCTTAACTTCCTGATTATGATGAAACCACCTTACTTTGACCTTTTTCTGACCTCTTTTGTCCTCGTACATGTCTTCCAGATAAGCAATGTAGTGATTCTCTCCATTTGCCATAACAAAGACAAAAGATTGAACCTGGATATCAAGAACATAGAGCGATGTTAGACCAAGGAGAGAGAAAGAATACATTTTCTCTTTCGCTTTATGTACTTTCTTAAGTTTCAAACACCTCATTCACAACGTTCCGCTCAGTTACTAGATTCTTACCGCTATCGTAATCCCATTCCTGCAGAAAGCAGGGTAATGCTTGAGCTGCTTACCACACATCCAAGGACTTCCTGACCAAACAATATCTGACTTGCGTCCCCTGCAATTCTTCGGAAGCCGGCCCTGATACACAGGTTTCAGGTGCCAAATAAGTATCAAAAACTAACTAAATGTAGAGTTCCTAACCAAATAAAAAGAAAAATTTACCGTGATATCTGGTCCTTGCGTTGGATATTCAGGAAATCCTAAAGCTTGTGCCAAATCATGAGTTGGTGAGTCTGTATTTGAAAAATAGTATTAAATGTAAGATCACATCTATGAGCTCAGTAATACAAATCACAGATTATGGATAAGATTAAATTAAGACTATTGCAATTATCAATTCTACCGTCGGGAAATTTCCACACTGAACAAATTGCAGAAACTATTCCAACTAGATTACCATTAGCATATACTATAGAAAGAAACGTCAAAGTTTCATTATTGTGTTAAACAAGCCAGCCTTTGCAATCCCTATCATGCTCCAAATTATCCTAAACTATCATTTTGAAGTTTCGAGGAATACAGGATTACTCAAAGAAAAGGGATAAAATAGTATGGCTACTCGGCTATTAAACTAAAGATAATTTATATGAAATTGGCTACATAACACAGAAAATCAATTAAGACACAATTTTTTTAATCTAAAGCTAAATAGAAGCAAGTCAAAATCATCATACCTGATCGATCTCCGTGCAGATGCTGCTTCGACAGCATGGAAGTAAGCCAATCAACAACCTCTCTTCTAGACCTCCACTTGAAACCAGCATGAATGGAATTCTCCTTTCCATGGGCTTGCAAGAACTCATCAGCAATGACATAAAACATGTGCCTAACACTCCTCTCGGTGCCCACGACCGCTAGGACAGATTCCCCCACGGAATCCTTCAAGAAATAATGGACCACTCGGTTTCCCCTCTCCTGAGAAACGAATTGCTCTTTCCATTCCACAAAATAGTGACCATTTCCAGACATTTTTGACACCAACCACCAGGTAGTCGACAAAACACCAGAAAACCCACTTGCAAAATTTCTAATTACATATCTTAAAGGTTTCAAACCTCAGAGACTTAGATTTCTTTCTTACAGAAAGCAACAATCTTGTCATGATTTTACAATCCTAACCCCAAGAACAACCCATCATTTTCCTTCTCTCAAAGTGGAAAATCTTAAGGAAATAAATCTGGGCATGCCATAAAATTGACAAGAATCTAGAAAAGCCTTATGGTTTGGACATAAAAGAGCAGATAAAAAAAACAAAACTTTACAGCTAAAGATGCCCACCAAACAAAGTGGTAAAAGGTCCAAAACCCACAACCCAGATTATTCAATTGCCTTTGAAAAGGCAACCTAAAAACAAATCAGGAAAATGTTTCACCATTAACTCTAGCACCATTAACTCTCAGCTAATAAACACAAGAACCCAGATGAATTTTCAGCTCAAAATTCAAAATTACAAAAAAAAAAAAAGGAAAGATGGCAGTCGTGAAGAATTAACAAAACCCAGAAAAAACCTGTGCTTTTGAACCGTCTAAAGGCAGATCAGAAACCCATCGGAGAAAAGAACCAAGTCTGAGCAGGGTTTTCCTCAACAGGCACAAAGATGTGGGCTTTACCGGATTTCCCAAGAGAATCAAGCCAAAAAAACGAAATGGGCATCTAAGTTTCAAGCGGTGGAAGAAGTTTCGGCGCAGAAAGAGAAGTTTTTGGAGGGTTGATTGGCGTAAGAGACTCTGTGGTGAAGGGCTTTTCTAGAGAGGAGAGAGAGAGAGAGAGAGGGAGGGAGGGAGATGAGTGAGAAGGGAAGGCACCACCAATACCATTGTGTTGTTTACTTTGGTGGGTACAAGGGAGAGAAGAGAAAGAGAGAGAAAATTGAGGAGAGAGAAGGAAAAAGATGATGACTTGAAAAGGCCATGGAAAATGGAAAGAGGAGTTGCAGAGAGCCTTGGAAATGTGTTTGTGCAGCTGACAAGGTGGGGATGAACAGAGGAGGAGAGAAGAGGACTAGTTGAACAATAAAAGGTTATTTTTGGTTTACTTAATCAATATTTAATTTCTTAATTATTTTAAATCAACGTTTAATTTGATTAATTATTTTAAATTTTAGATTTTTTATTGTCCGGCAAAGAATAGGGTAACCATCCATCATTGACCCTACCATGTTTTGTTATTTTTCTTACCAGATATTCTAAATTTAAAAATTACAGAAAAAATATGTAATATTCATGTTTAAAATTATTTTCAACCTCCCTTTTAGTTGGTCAGATTGAGAAAAGAAAATATGAGGTTTTTCAAATTAAAACTTTATTTTCTAGAATGTCAAAAATTATATACTAATTTTATAGTCGAAATCAACGTGAAGATGAAATTCTAAAATCGCTTCCTCTCCCAATATTGTCTTCTTTCTCTTTTTGTGCCTAGAACTCCACTTTTCCCCCTCTCGACTCTTCTCTTCCCGCCTAGGGTTCCTCTCAAATTTGTGTCATTTTGCTTCACGGCTAGACTCCTGACCTTAGAGGAGTTTTTTTATGGTAGTTATTGTGGACGACGAGTTTGAGAACCGGGTGGTTTTTGGTGCTTGCTGTGTGGTAAGTGGCCACTTCTTCACCCGTTTGTTTTAGGAGTGTTCATGCTTCCAAGTGGTTGCAACTCTAAAGTTGTGTTTGGAATTATTTTTATTTTTGTTTTTCACGTTTTTTGAGAAAAAAAAATGAAAATGAGAGATAAACGGCGTTTGACATAATTAAAGACAAAAAACGGAAATAAAAATAAATTTTTAGTCTAGTGTAAAATGTGAGAGAAATAAAAAATGACTTTTAGTCGTTTTTCATTTTTTGTTCCTGTTTTCTCCTCTCTCGAGCGGAAAGAGAAAGAGACATTAATGGATTTTTTTATACTGAAAATAATTTTTTGATAAAACTACTAAACGTATTTTTAAAAATAATTTCTGCGTGAGATTTAAAACGTTTTCATTTTTATTTGCATATAAAAAATAAAATCATTTTAAAATAAGTTCTAAACACATCCTAAGATTTTGGTTCTCTTACCATCTTGAAGCTTTTAATGGAGCACGTACATTGGCCAAGGTTCATGATGGCATCACGTGCATTGGCTAGGGCTCGTGATGGCAGCATGTGCCTCTCACACACTGGTGCTTTGGCAGCCCGTTGATATATATTTTTTTGTCTCTCTATAGTGTTGCTCGCTTTGTTTCTCTAAGACTTTAGAGATCATCCTGTCATCAGAGGCCCTTTTTTCATACGTTTTGAGATTTTGTTCCTTTTTTTTAGTTATTATTTGGTTGTCTTCCTAAAGACAATGATTTTTCCACCATTTGTGTATAGTTTGTTTTTGTAGTGTATTTGGTTTTCTTGTGTAGTAATGGAGGTGGTTCTCTACTCTTCTTGGTTGGTTGAGTGTCTAATATGCTAGATTGGTTTCTATAAAGTAGTTGGTGCCTTATTTTGTGCAATTGAAAGTTTCCATTAATTATAGAAGTGTTATAAAAATAGTCATATGTATACTTTAAGTTCGGTGATTCTATTAAGTTACAGTTATTGAAAATTTTCTCTTTTAACGTTTCTTGGTAAAATCGGTCTACGTTCAGAGTTAAATTTTCTTGTGTCTTAGATTATTTGTGTCAATGTTATTTTTTATTTCTCGGATTTGGTATGACATTTTCCCTTTAAAAACTAGAGTGAAATGTAAATAAAGCGTTAAATATCGCTAATGAGAAAATGCCATATATTCGTAAAGGGTATTTTTCTACAATACTTTGGGTTGTTCTTTTACAACAAAACTCAGAAAAAGTTTAAACTCAAGTTACAACTTTATTCACGTTCATGTTCTTTTAAGTTCCAACTCTATTCAACTTTACTCAATTTTATTCAAGTTACAACTTTAACTCAAGTTATAACTCAAATTCAACTCAAAAATTACACTCAAATTACACTTCAAAAGAACAATCCTTTTGACTTTCTGCTTTCTTTGTGTGAATAAATTGCAGCCAGCTAGTAGTATAGGGAATCTAGTCAAAATTACAAATAACCAACCTTCTTTTTTTTTTTTTTTAATTTATAGTCTAAAGAAAGAAACACAAGGACCACATATATTTTTCACTGAAATTTTTCTCTCTAGATTGGATGAATTCTCGATATAAAAGGAATTAAAATTTAAAAGCCAGCTTTTCAATATCAGAAACCAAAAGGATTATGATTCTAGCAAACAAAAAAATATAAAAAATAAATAAAAGAATTTGGGAGAGTAAATAAGGTCAAGTAAGCATTCTCACAACAGTCAACAATATGCACTTTATTTTTAACTTAAAGCAGCTTTTTTAACCAATAAAGTCAATGCTCAAAAACACTGATTTCATCCAATCTAGAGAGTACACTGATTTCATATGGACAAATAGTCAATTGTTAAGTTTGTGCGTTAAACACTGATTTCAATAAAACTCAAATTTTATAAATAAATAAATAAATAAATATGAACTTAAATAAAATTATAATTTCTGTTTAATTTTTTTTTAAATTTAGATACAAACGAATAAGTCCTTGATATTCTATTAAAGAATGCTCATTCTCATTAAAAGACATACATGTACTAGAGATTATTATTATTATTATTTTTTTTTCATTTTTCCTCCCATTTGCGAAACTTGCACTCACCATGATAATGGTTAGTGGCAGAGCTACATTTAACATTTTAATTTTTTTAATTATATGTAAATTTTAAAGAAGTTTAAATTTACACCACAATTTAACTAAGAAAATTACACCACAATTTAACTAAAGAAAATTATAATTATGTCCCACTTATAACTATCCAAAGATTTTTATTTTCATTTTTGCCTCTCATTTGCCAAACTTGCACCCTACGTGATGAGGCTGAGCCACATTTATTTTAAAATATTTTTATGAAAGGAGATTTTCTGATACGAATAAATCAGATTTTTCTGACCGTTAAAAATACATACTTTTTAATTTTTATGTGATTTTATATAAACCTAACAATTAAAAAATTTGGTCTACACCAGAAAAAATCTCTTTTTATTATATATATATTTTAAAGAAGTTTAAATTTACGCCACAATTTAACTAAAGAAAATTACAATTATGTCCCCACAGAACTAATGGATCACATGATGTATAATAATTCAAGCACACGTGAGCTTGCTTGCTAGCTTTACAAATGTCACGTCGAAAATATCTATTAAGAGGTTCCTATAAATGTGTGCGCGTGTGAATATATATATATATATATGTATATATATATGTGTGTGTGTGTGTGTGCGTGTGCGTGTGTGATGCAAGCGTAGTGGTTATTGGTGATAATGACTTATGAAGTAACTTGCTATTATGTCAACAGACAAGGAGATTGGGTGCAAAGAAAGCAACTCATTGCATCTGCCAAGTGCCAACTCTCTCTACTTTGGTCACGAGCCAAAGTTCAAGGATATTTTTCCTTGGAACAATTTAGTAGTAGGAAGTAAAGAAGTATCATAAAAATTCGGTATAGTTCTGATTCCTGAACCATCAAATCCTATCTATAGTATTGGGATTAAAGAAGTAAACAAATATGGAAGATCTAATGTTCTAAACCATATACTACCTGTAACAAACCAAAGGAAATTCTCTTTTATAGGAAAAATTTTGGGTTACAAAGCACAAACTTCTTTTACTTAAATATATAACCACCAGTCTAAGGAGCTGCTCATCACTATCAGACTCGCTGTTTGGGGATAATATCTGCTGCACATGCATATGCGCCATGTACACCATATCTCAAATAAAGTGGTTGATGCCAGTGTAACACGTGAATAATCAATCTGAACACTAAGATGTGGGAGAACTCCAATCCAGAAAATATCAATCAAGGTGAGGTGTGAGACTACTCAGTGAACAATCTGGGAATAAGTCATGTGCAAAGCGCTGCGCATGCCGCATCATCGACTCTCTTGACAAACGCCGCCACATTGAGTGCATCACAACATTCTTTGCGATATATACCCTACTCTAGATACTCGAACTCATCCGCTTGCTCATATGTTCGCATACCAAATTGGTCATGAAGTCAACAAGGAGACCTTCCATAGCCAACTTAATCACTAGCTTGGTCCTCAAACTAATGAGCCAATGGATGAGCTCAAGGATCTAGAGTGGGGTATACATCACAAGAAGCGTTGGGATGCTCTCAGTGTGGCGGCAAATACCATGAGAGTCGACGATACGGTACGTGCAGTGCTTCACACGTGACTTATTGTCATCATGAGTAGTCTCACACCTCACCTTAATTGATATTTTTTAGATGAGAGTTCCCCCACACCTTAGGGTTCATAATAATTATCCTCGTTTTATGCTGACATCAGCCACTTTATTTCAGAGGTGGTCTACATGGAGCATGCACCCCAAACAGTGAGTCTAATAGTGATTAGAGTGATGACGACTCGGGCGAGGATCTAAGTGAGGACTCAAGCTCTGCAAATATTGATGTTGATACTCCGATGGCTTATCAGTTGGACATGTCTTGTCGTGCCACTCCAGCAACTTAGAGCAGACCTTGTTTATCTCCAATTTTGTGATACATACTATAAACTCAGCGTGGATGACCATCTATTAGGATTGTTTATGATATGTGTGGCTAATGGTGACCTATATGGTTAACCTGTGTAAACTCGTATTATGATGTACGGTACAATATGACATGCAATGTTATGATATGATATTCTATGATATAGTTCTAAAATTCATGACATGATTATTCCATGACATAAGATAATAAAATAACAAAATGTTAAGCTTTGCGCTAAATTTTATTAAAAAAAATCCCCAAAATTTTAGTAACTAAGGAACTAAATCAAGTTAAATATATATATATATATAT